GGTCAATGAGTTCTAGCTGAACATCACTGGGTGCATTATCCACACTGCAGGTAAAGGGAGAGGAAATCATGTGCATTTCATCCTCGATTGTTCTGAGATCCTCAAATCGCCTTGAAAACTCACCATGCAATGCTCCTAACATGGATGAGTACCTGCGGCAGTGATCAGCTGATGGTGTGACTTCTTTCAGGGTTTGCATGTGAGTGAGAGTGTTGCTCTCCAGTTGGCTTGAAAGAAACTGCATCTTTCTCATGAAAGCCTTCACCAGGCTGTGCATTTCATGAACAAAAAGGCCCTTGCCTTGCAGTTTGGTGTTCAATTCATTCATCAGTGCAGTCACATCAACAGCAAATGCAAAATCTGCCATCCAGTCCTCATCTGAGAGCTCTGGGATGTCTTTGCCTTTCGTCTCACAAAACTCTCTAATCTCTGCTCTCAGGTCCCAAACTCCTGTTAGCACTTTGCCCAGGCTGAGCCATCTGACAGCTGTGTGGTAGACAATGTCACTATGCTCAGTCTCATGCTCCTCCACAAGTGCGACAAATTGTCTGTGATTCAATGCCCGTGCCCTGATGAAGTTTACTATTTTAGTAACAACATCAATAACATGGTTAATTTTTAGCACTGATTTGCACAACAATTCATCTTGAAGCTCGCGCAGTGTCCTCTACTGTGCGCCTCTTGACACAGCAGGCTGAGCAGCCCTGCTGGGGCCACTATACGGCCCTCATGGTTCCTCCAGAGTCCTGTGGAATCCTGTGTCGCTCCTTTGCCAAGCCATGCTTGCTTCTCTGTAGGGGCCGCTTTGCCCTGGATTTCTCTTATGGTCTGCAGGCTCAACTTTGTTGCATGTACATGACCGCTCTCAGCGGATTTCTGAGTCATCTGTTTTGCTCCTTGAGCAGGACCTCTAAGGCCCTTGGTACCGGTACCGAGCTTCTCGAGCTCTGACCCCTTGGGTCTAAGTACTGTCTGTACTGGGCTTCCAGGGCTCTGACCCCATAGGTCACCAGTACTTTTCATCACTGAGCTTCCAAAGCTCTGATCCCGTGGATCTTCAGTACTTCTCAACGGTGAGCTTCCAAGGCTCAAACCTCGTAGGACTTTGAAAGATATTACCCAGTTCTTTTAACCAGGAACTCAGAGAGACGAGGCGGATCACATGGATATATAAAAAATAACCGTGCTGGATGACACTCAAAATTGAGCTCTGGTGCATCCTGTTCCCACTGATCATCCTTGAGATGTTTCTACAACTTGATTGGAGTCCACCTGTGAAAAATTCAGTTGATTGGACATGATTTGGAAAGGCATACACCTGTCTATATAAGGTCCCACAGTTAACAGTGCATGTCAGAGCACAAACCAAGCTATGAAGTCCAAGGAGTTGTCTGTAAAGCTCCGAGACAGGATTGTATCAAGGCACGGATCTGGGGAAGGGTACAGAAAAATTTCTGCAGCATTGAAGGTCCCAATGAGCACAGTGGCTTCAATCATCCATAAATGGAAGACGTTTGGAACCACCAGGACTCTTCCTAGAGTCTGACTAAAAAATTACCTAACACCATCAAGCACTCTTTAACAAGCTCCCCCTTCCGAAAATGGCTTACCGTATTTAGCAATTTTGTGGGATATCACAAAGCTGGTCTTGGTTGCTGCATCCCTGGCTGTGGGAAGCTTGGTAAAAAGCTGGTCTTGGTTGCTGCATCCCTGGATGTGTGAAGCTTGGTAAAAAGGCCTTGCTGCTTCTGCAGCTTAGCGAGTAAAGCTTCCGATGTTCGCGCCCTTTGAGCATCAGTCAAGTTTCTGTATTTCTCTGCGTGTTTCGTCTGGTAATGCCGACTCACATTGTAGTCCTTAAACACGGAGATCTGTTCCCCGCAAACTAAACACACAGTTTTACCCACGACTTCAGTAAATAAATACTTAGCAGTCCAATTTTTGTTGAAAACCCTGCATTCGGCATCTACCTTTCTTCTTTTAGCATGAGCGGACATTTTTGAGGGTGTGTGACAACAATCCAATCTTGCGTACATCTTGATATACGTATTATGTACGTGAATAAAAACAACTTCAAAATAAAAGCAATGTAGCTATAGTCCATGCATGAGGTGAAATTAAAAAATACGTTTATTTTGTAATTTCCAATTAACCTTACACGGGCCGGCCAGAGTCAACCAAAGGGCTGTAAAATGCCCAGGTCTGATCTAGAGGTTGTTTTGTGGGCAAAATACATTTTGTGCCACAAAATGTTTTTGATTCCACAAAAATAAAGTGAGTTGTAACATTGGAAAAGTCAAATCCCTCATCTGCTGAGGGAAGAAGGTGAGTGCAAGCAGAATTTAGTGACATTACAGCCAATTTGGAAACCCGTCTTACTCCAATATGCAGCTTCATTTTCATTAAAGTAGGAGACATCTTGTGTCAAGCCATGAAAGCATTTTTGTTGATTCTAGATTTTCAATGATATAAATTTTTAATGACAAACTTTTTATTGAAAAAATCATATGAGATAAATTCAAGCAAATTGTTTTTCTCTTTTAAAACGTCTTGAGCAGCACACTGATGTATGAAAATGTGTGATGAAATATTTGAAGTTTTCTGACAAAGAAATGTACATTGTTTAGTCAACTGTAGAATAAACACCGGATGGTTTGTGTATGTGAATGCAGCCTTTCTTTGTGGACCATAACTGCCGTGCCACCACCTTCATCGACCCCCGGCTGCCTCTCCAGAGCTCTCGGCCCCCGAGCGTCCTGGCTCACCGCCAGCACTTGACCCGCCAACGCAGCCACAGTGCCGGGGAGGTCAGCCCACGACGACTGGTAAGAAAAACACATGCATTTAAGGCACGATACCAAAACCGTCATGTGAAACAAAAAGGGAAACAAACTTGTCCCTGTAGGTGGGCGAAGACCCTCGTCACACCGGCCCACCAGTCCTGCCGCGGCCCTCCAGTACCTTCACCTCTGCCAGCAGGGGGCAGTGCCAAGACATCATGCCAGTGGGTCAGTACAGACATACAAACACACCCCTGCTCAGAGATGATAAAAACCGTTGAACAAGTTTGTCCACTCTTTATCTAGCTTACAACGACAAGATTGTGGCATTTCTTCGACAACCAAACATCTTTGAGATTTTGCAGGAGAGACAGCCTGACTTTAGCAGGAACCATTCGCTCAGGTATACACACCAAGATTAAATGATCTATGCGGTAGCTCCTGTATGGAGCACTGCTAATAGTAGGATACAGTCCTGAACGTCATTGCTATGACCACAGGGAGAAGGTGCAGCTGATCCGCACAGATGGAGTGTCAGGATTGGCCAGGCTGTCAGGAGACGCAGACCTTGTCATGCTGCTAAGGTAAAACATTATCCATTAATCCTTATTTAATTCTTAGTTTCTTTTTTCTTCAATACCAATATTTCTATTTTTAATTTGCTTGTCTTTTAGAATTAGTTGTGTATAACTTTCCCTCCTTCCTCTCTTGTTTCTTCTTTCTTACTTTCAGCCTAAGGTGCTCTATTGAATTAAGTTGATTCAGGTTCTTTATCTCTGTTGCTCTTCTCTGCAGTCTGTTTGAAGATGAAGTCATGTCCTACGTGCCTCCTCATGCCTTACTTCACCCAGGCTACTGTCAGTCACCTCGGGGATCCCCTGTCTCTTCCCCACAGAACTCACCTGGTAAGAGAGACAAGTGCATGTGTTGAATTACAATACAGTTTATTTCATAAAGACTATTGGATTCAAGTCCTCTGTTTGGCATTTTGAAATTTGAAGATTAGTTGTTTTTTTTTGCTTTGAGTATCTGATTCCTTCTTTACCTTTTCCTGTAGGCACTCAGAGAGCTAATGCCAGAGCTCCAGCACCCTACAAGAGAGACTTTGAGGCCAAACTGCGTAACTTCTACAGGAAACTTGAAACTAAAGGCTATGGCCAAGGACCAGGGAAACTAAAGTAAGTGTAATTTGTATGACAAGAGCAACAATTCTTCTTCTGTTTCTGTATAATAATGTGTGTGTGTGTGTGTGTGTGTGTGTGTGTGTCAGGTTGATCATCCGTCGTGACCATCTGCTCGAAGATGCCTTCAACCAGATCATGTGTTATTCCCGTAAAGACCTGCAGCGCAGCAAGCTCTATGTCAGTTTTGTTGGGGAGGAGGGGTAAGTAGGTGGAGGGTAGAGAAGAAGAACAAGCATGAAACCCATATCTATGACTGCAACTCTTTCCTGGACAGTTTGGCTAATATGTTATTTGAAACTTTGTTAGAACAGAAATTCACACAATAATAGACTCCCCAGCTTTGATGAATGCTAATTGGTGTTAATTGTTCCTTAAACATTTGCTCATTCCAAAATCCCATTGAGCTCAGGAGTGCAGTGAGGTCAGTAAGCAGGGGGCGGCTGTGGCTTGAGTCCCGGCTTATCCAGTCAACATGTCGAAGTGTCCTTGAGCAAGAAACTGAACCCCCAGTTGCTCCCTGTGATAACACCGGTGTGTGAGCTGTGAGAGTGCAAATGGGTGAATGGCCAAGTAGTGTGAAAGTGCTTTGAGTGCGCTGTAAAAGTGTAGAAAAGCACTATACAAGTATAAGACCATTTACCATAAAAGGAATTATACTTAGCTATACTGATGCATTCATTTATTTATGTTGTTCATTGAAACTGGTCATTTGGCATTTCATAATAATATTATCTCAACAAATAGTTAAATGCTGTTAATTTGTGTATTAGTAATTCACTCAACTGAACATCATATTTAAATTAATATAATTTGATAATATTTGCAGTTTCACTCTTGATGTAATGTTGCAAGTTTTACATCGACTCTCAATGTGTATGTGCATATCCCCATGCAAGGGGCAAGTAAACAGTAAAGCAGCATAAGGCTGTGTAATATAACAAAATAAGCAGTATTAACAGTGTGGTCGCAAGAATTAATAATACACAAGGAGAATCACTACAGTACCAATTATCATTTATTGAACAATATTTTATGATTATGATCGAGAGGGCGAGAAACAGAATCACCTGTGTCAGTCTGAGTCTCTGCAGAGAAAGTTAGGTTGTCAGTCACTGGTTCTAGTCTTCCCCTCGGGTCTTCACACACGCACCTAATCAACTCTGCAGCTAACTATATGGCCATTCCCCACTTCCTGTGATTGTCCAGATCTTGACGTCCAACTGGGCCCCCACCCTGGTTACACTTCTCTATTTTTGGGAACCCCCTGCACACTGTGCTAAAAAACAAGAAGTTTGGCGCCCAACATGCCCTGCGATGGATTGGCGACCTGTCCGGGGTGTACCCTGCCTTCGCCCGATTGCCGGCCGGGATTGGCTCCAGCCCCCCCTCGTGACCCCGTTCAGGGATTAAGCGGTAGAAAATGAATGTATGAATGGCGCCCAACATCCTTGCAGAAAGTTCACCCTGACCATACTACATGTTGTGCATTAAGTAATATTAACTATTAACTATATTCTGATCCTGTTCTGATTATATTCAGTTTGCTTTAACCACTACAGAATCCCCTCCTCCCGTAGTTTTAAGAACTACGGAACTCTTAGACAAACTAAAGCAAACACATACAGAAAAATGACAAGAACATGACAAGAACATTCATAAAGACATATATCTGAATACATCACTTCCTGATACTAATCAGTAAGCTCCAGTAACACTACAAATTACTAATTAAACAGTAACATTAAACATTATCGTCCTACCGCATCCAAAAGGAAAATAGAGATCAACTTTTTATTACAGAGACAAACTTTTGATCTAACAGAGCAATTCTACACTAAACCAACTCCCTACACTCTAAAAAAAAAACCATGCTCGTAAGCACAATAAGTACTACTGTAACGTGGCAAAACTCCCTACTCTAATTTCTAATTTGCTAAATTCCACAACTTTCTAATTTTAGCATATAATACACTGAAAATAAACAGTCATAGAAAAGAAAGAATAACCGACCAGGTGATCCTCTTTCCCACACACATAACAACACAGTTTTAACTATACACATGTCTGTACTGTAAAACAAACAGCTTCAATGCAAACACTTCCTGACAACTTAACACAGATCTTTCCATCAAGACTTAACATGCAGACTTGGGCGAAAAACCTTCACAAACAATAATTTTGTAACATTGGCGTCGTTTGAGTCATTCATTTGACTTTCTCTGGTGAAGGAAAATTCCCGAGTAACCCCCAGGCATCCTGGCTTGATGCCTTTTTGTGGGTGAAGGGCCTGCATTGGATCTGAGAGCAAACAGATAACAGACATAGTGAGATTCAAAATATAACACATATATCATACACATGAATAATATGCTTAAACTAGTGTGTAAATATTCTGTAATGTTTAGTGTAGCTCATACTGTAACATGCTGTAATATAGTTCCATTACACATAAACACCTATACTCAAAAAATCTCCTACTCATAATTCTGCAATCATCTGCTGAAATAAAATGAAAATGATTAAATGGGAATACTCAGTAATATAAATAATTGGATAATAAAAGTGTAACAATGATTATATGTAATTGATTCATCTGTAATTTGAATATATGAAAATGTGATGTGATGTCATCCATCGTCCGTCGTCAGCTCATCCTCCTGCAGTTTCACTCGGTCGCCACCTGGTAGAGCTCTTCTTCGTCTTCTCCTCTGATGTCCAGCCAATCCATTTCAAACTCTGTTGCAGCCTGATTCTGCTTCACTTCCTGCGCCATCATTACCATCTGCAGTGTTTTTCTCTCAGCTGCTCTAAGTATCACTGACCGACAACACCACAGAAAAAACCCATTAGCCACTACCCCAATAAAGACAATTCCCCCTCCCCTGTTTCCAGCCACTGGTGGTGTTCACTAACCAGTTTATCCAACCCATGTTATTATCCTTACCAGCATTATCCATTACTTCAGACTTCAAATCCCTAAGCTTTTTCATAGCCTCTGTGAAAGCTCCCTCAGGAGCTGTATGTCCTGGTATATAAGTACAGCAGTATTCTCCTATGAGAGCACACAGAGTGCTCATGGGTTGAGCCATGAGTCCAGAGGTGAAGTGCTGAGGAGACTTAGAGAGTGGAATTTTTGGGCTCCAAAGCTGCAACAACATGTGGATGGAGTCTTAAGTTGATGTGTGGCAGAGTTCTGCCAGGACACAGCACTTGTAGCACTCACCTGCTCTCCTAATGCACCTAGAGCCTCATCTGTGCGGTTAATGAATCTCTGTTGGTTGTAAAAAATGTAGTTTATCCACTCAGTGTTTTTATTAGCAGTTATCCAGGGTAAGATAGACTCGAACCATGATGCAATCTTATGTCTGGCTTTAAACTCATTTGGGATTCCACGTGGCTGGCCAATAGCATCGAGATACACTCTGGGATCTGGCAAATACGCCCTCTTGCTTCTAGCACTAACATTTCTAGCCTGCTCCACCAAGACAAAGGTAATCAACTCCTGAGCCACCTGCACTCTAGCACATCTACCTTCCCAGTTGATTGGGAGAACTGAATACAAATGTTGTCCACCACACCACCAGAAATGATCAGCTACACTTTGGTCAAAATAAGGGCAACCTGGGACCTGCACATACAGAGAACTTCCCCTTAACTGGAGAGCTGGGTGCAAGTTTGGCTTTGTACAGTTCAACGTGTCCAGCTTCCACCTGTAACTACACTGGTTAAGACTCACCTTCCCTACAGGTACCGCTCCTGTTTTTTCAACACACTCAAACCGTCCTACTGGTATCAATGGAACACCATGTGGCATTCCCAGCACTGCTTTTCTTTCTCCTATAGTCACATCTAACTCTCTACATCGCTGGACATTAGTCTTCCCCTCTGCTCTGAAGTTGGCCACCAGTTGGTATGATGGTGAGCCCAGAAAGGACAGACACTCAGCCTTGCACCACGGTCGTGGGTTTAAATTAGTCTTGAAGACCTCACGACTACACTCCTGCCAACTGAACATTGTGTTCAGCACAAACAAACTTTCTGACCTAGCCTTGGTACAGATGTAACAATCTTCTTTCCCATTGAGCTGTCCTGCAAATTGGACCCACCTGTACCAACTATTCTGTTCCAGGATGTCACTAAGACCTCGCTCTTCCTCCGCTGCATAATCTTCCCACTGATCAAATGGCACTCCTTTTACTCCTGGCCTAAAGCCATCAGCCCTGTCAGCCACTGACCTGCAGACCCAATCTAACCTACTGCTATTGGAGTTACTACCCGTTCCTTCAGGCTCAGCACTCCTCACAGCAGTCTTCCGCTTGTGTGGCACAGTCATTTTTTCAGCTGACATTGTCCTCATCATTGTAACGATCACTTCAACTGACTTCACTGTCATTTCCTCCTGGTTCGAAACTGGTTTGGCAGTTGCAGCCAAAGTCCTTGCGACAATTGATCTGCTGTCTTCTACTGGTCCACTTGGGGGTTGCAGGACTACAGATTCTTCAGTTGCACTTGTCATTCTGCTGGTGACCTTACTCCATGTGACATTATATGTCTCATTTCGCTGTCCCAATGGTGGCTTAAATCCTACTCTAATCACCCAGACATCATGCCAATTAACTTCTCTTTCCCTCACTCTGATGGAATAATGATCTTCTCCCCATGAGTCAGGGGGTCTGCTTGCCAGCCATCCAGAAATCCACTCAATTCCACACACAAGTCTTCCAGGTATTTGATCTGTCTACACAAAGAGACTGAAATTGTCTATGCTCGAAGTCCAGGGTTGCTTAGACATACAATATGCGCAACCCAAGTATCATGCTCCGTATATCTTCAATCTTGGTCGTTCGATGTCCACTCTTGCACACCTGGCCATTCCCTAGGTGCAGCCCTTTTACTTCTTACCACAGCTCCATCATCTTTCCCTTGCTTTCCCTCCTCTGGAGAGTCAAGGAAGTGGAAGCACAGCTGGATCATGACCAATATCACTGTCAGGAGGAGTATCAAGCCCACTCCCCTCCTCTGACACTGGCTGCTGCTCCAGGTGATGTTCATTTTCTTCTTTTGGCACCACTGCCGCCTCAGAACTGTCTGTGTCCTTAGGGACCTTCACACAGTGGTTTAGATGATACCATGTAGGTGAACCTTTCACTTGCACTGCACGGGCAGTTGCACTGACCACCTCGTATGGACCTTCACGTTG